TTCTATATTTCCTTTTTCCAGTTTGCTGAATTCTACAAATAAAAAGTTATTATGTATTAAAATGTATTCAGAACATTTGACCAGAGGTGCCGAAACTTTTGCATACAACCATAGACGTGGGCATCTGGGGATGTTGAAATCTGAAATGACCATTTAAACCTAATTTGAATAAATAATGAAGTATTTTATGCTTTATATGTTGCATGCTGTACATATAGAATGTGTAGAATGTATAGACAGAAACTAATTTTATCTGTTAGATTTGTTGTTATATATAGATTGTTGTTGTTGTTGTTGTTGTTGTTAAAGCTGGTCTACAGGTCCCCCAGCATGAGTTTTTGTTAGATGAACCCAATGAAACCATAAACTCATTTCCAGAAATAAACAAATTCTAGTAAAGAAATAAACAAGGTGAAGCAAAAAAATAACAATATAAATAAAATAATCATAAAAAAAAAGAGATAAAATTAACAAAAAGGCAAATAAACAAATACAAGAGTCTGAGTGTTCAAGATCATAAGTAATACATTATTTTTTATATTATTGTGTTCATTTTTTTGGAAAAATATATCAATTTATGCAAATGTTAAGTTCTCATCTGGAATATTTTGGAAAAAATATGAAAAAAAACAATTGCATAAATTGAGAAAATGTTTTCAAAAATGTAATAAAAAGGTGGAATTAACACTTGAAATTAAATTAAAAGCTTTGCTGGATTCTGTACGGTTCTTACAGATGAATGTTAAAAATAAATAATGCTATTGCTGTATATATTGATTGATATATTCTTTTGTGTGACATCATCTGCATTTCCTCTTTCTTTCTGGGCCTCCTGTCCAATGAAACATTTGTTTTCACTGTGGTGTTTAAAATAACATTTTTATATATATTTTTTGAGAAGGAATTGATTATCTTTAATTTGGTGTATAATGTATTTGTGTATAATACATTTTTATTAATTAAAAAAAACAGCTAATGGTGACAAGGTTTAATTCAGCCACTTAAATTAATGTGGTCATGAAGACTTCATTGTTATGCATGAACATTTCATAAATTCATAAATAAATAAACTAATACCTCATCAATGTTAAACTAAAGAAACAGATTTTTCTCTATTTTACATTCCACCATCTTCATCAGGTCAGATCCTGTAATTTTCTGTGAGTTGCTATAATTTTATGACTGTGTGGCTTTTATTGAAACATAATAACAATAATAATGAAAATAATAATACAGTAACAGGGCTGACAGGGTTTGAGAGCACAAATAAATTATTATTGTACTAAATTCTCAAATGCTGCTGAAATTTTTTATGGCAAAACAGGTCAATTTAATGTATTGATAAACAGTGAGATGTTCTGATTAGATTAAAAATGTTTCTAGAAATTTGCCACCAAAAATTACATAATACATAAAGAACAAATCACAAATCATTGAAATAATGAACAAATCAGTGATCATCGGTGTGAATGATCTCCAGTGCATTTATAAAAAAATAGTTTTTTTTTACCTTAAATTGTGAAAAACAATCCTTCATAATTTGAAAAAGTTGCACAGTTTTACCTGTTAAACTGCTGAAGTGACATAAGGGTCACAAGTTGTCCTGTTTTGGTGAAATAACCCAAAAACTTCCCAGCTTTGATCATTTGAACCTTGTTCATTCATATGCTTCGTATCTTTGAACAGAGTTTATCAGTGGATTTTCAAATTAGCATGAAATGAGACTAAAGCAGATCTTTATTACTCTTTCTATGGCTCATATACAGTACGGGCGTGTGTGTATATACTGGCCTGTGTTGTGTATACGTATGAGATGCTCCCATGAGGCGTTTTTGGACAGACGCAGGCTGTGCTGTATGGCGAAATCTGATTGTCTATATTTAGAACTGGCTAATGTGGTCTCCAGCCCACTCGTTACTGCGCACCGTGGCAACCACAGGCTCCCTAGTAACGCTGACGACAGAATTCACACCATACTGATTTCAAGCACTCGACCATTTCAGGCTCGGAATAAGAGATTCTGCTCCTCCTTGTGCATATGATCATTTTTAAAGGGCTCATTTCCTGCAGTTCATCCATGAGGCTCGCTTTCCTTGTGTGGGTTTGTGTACCATCAGATCTGTCTTTATCTCTTAGAACTAAACAGGCTGTTTTAGTTACTGATATACAGTCGTATGCAAAAGTTTGTGCACCCCTGGACCGATTTTCTACGGGAAAATAAGTGAAAATATTCTTTATGGAAAACAAACTATTTGCTGAGCTCAATGTATTTCGAAAAAACAAACATATAAAATATGCTGTATCTTTTGCACATAACATTTTATATTGTTGTGTTTTAATATGTTAAATACGTCAAATTAAACAGTAACTGTGCATTCAAATCTGCCGAAACGAGTCCTCTATAGAGGAGGTGTGAACTTATTTTTGCATAAAAAGTCAACAAAAACATTTGACCAGGGGTGCCCAAACATTTGCATATGACTGTATGTAAATGAGCTCTGTTCTGATTGGCTGCCCTGTAATGTGCCTCATCTGAAAAGCAGTCTTTGCTGAAACCCTCCTTATAACTTCAACATAAATGGGGCGGGGCTAAACTGATGTAGGCTGAGTATATGCAAGTATGTCGTGACATCACAAAACCACAATTCAACATTGGCTGTATTTGCAGCTTAGCTTCCATATATGGACTGTATGGACTGACTTGAGTGAAATTTATATAGTACATCAAACTCGATTTAGTTTTCAGTGAGTGGACCCTTTAATAAAACATGAATGGTCAAAACTGGACCCCAGATCACTTGACCAGATAACTTTAGATTATTTAGAGATATAACCGGTGATGTATTCGAAAGGCTCGACAGACAGAAGTAGCTTTACAGCTGTGAATGGAACAAACCGGCTAACCACAGGCCTCAGTTCTAAACTGATGGAGCATGTTTAACTGTAAACAGTGTCACAGCAAAGCTAAAGCAAGATTTTGAGTTTTGTCCTCCACTGCAGGCTTGTTCTGAGCCCTGATGATGCCTAGCTGAAAGGTATCACAGACACACATACTCTTTCTGCCGGTCATGCTTAAGATCCACTGTGTTTTACTGCCCTCTGCTGGATGCACGGCTCAATTACAGTGGTTAGAAACTCACTTTCCCTCAACAGCAGTGAGAAATAAGTGTTCTGTTTATTTATGAAATAGATTTATAGCCTGATTTATACTTGTATATATTCTTCTCCAGCACATTTGTGCTGTTCTGAAACTGAAATTGCAATGACTTCAGCACATTCGGTGTAAATCGAACTTCTCAAAGGGGAATTCCACATATTTTTCAAAATTTCATCAGACATCCCCTCTAAAAGCTCCCTCACATAAAGTTATTACATGAAATGGTTATGAATTCACCGCCTGATGACTGAGACGTTATTTTACAGCAGTAGTTCAACAGTAATCCTTTTGTTTTTTTGAAAGAGATCTGCAGGGATCTTTTTCCACACCTCACAAGTTCGGACTTAGAAGTGGGTTGCATGTTCTGCTTCTCAGCATCCAAGTATTCTGGTGTTATGAAGAGTTTTTAGTGTCAAAAACACACCCTTTCACTTCTACCCCTTTAGTTTTAAAGGGCCCATATCATGGAAGAACTAATTTTCCTTGCTTCTTTACATAAATGAGGTTTGAAGTGTAACAGCCCTTTTGAATTAGTAGTTTCTGTGATGTCATGAGAAGCAACTCATTTACATTTATCCAACTAATCCAGTCTACAGCAGTTTAGCCCCGCCCATTCATATTGAAGTTTTAGGTAGTGTTCCAGCTCTGAGTGCTTTTTAATTGAGGTGTAAGAGATCATTTATCTGATCAGTCCATCACGAAAAACCCTGTTTGACTATAAGGTTGGAAAAAGATCATGTAAAATGAATTATGACCCCACACATATATAACAAGTGGACCTCAGTGGGGAAAAAATAGTGTGTAAGATGTGGACCCTTTAAGCTATTTTCTTCACTGCTTAAGTGTTTTGCGCAGTACTGTATGGACCGTTCTACTGAATTAGTTCACACTGTGGTCCCATAGTAAAAACTGTTTAAAAACAATTAAGTATTCAGATCTTAGATACTAACGAGGATGATCAATTTCAAAGTCCAAGACATAAATTTAGATAAAAATAAGTTAAATGTATACAAAGTCATACTTTATAGGGTGCTTTCTGTTGGGAGGTGACTGTTCCTGAACCCTAACCCCTAAATTTACACTTGTGGAAATAACATTTTTTAGTATTTTTTTTTTCCAATGTTGTTTTTTAAAGATATTTAAACAAACAAAAATAAAAACTTTATTCAAAAAATGCTGTCCCACGTTTTCGTGTCACTGCCAAAATGCAGAGTTTCAGTCTGTGGGCGGAGCCTTATTTTAGCCACACCCTTGAATTTTAGAGCAGGAAGTGAGGCTGTATCCCTGTCCCTCATGGCCACATGGTGAGCAGTTAGATCCCATTGTTTTGAGGTAGATCAATCCCAAAGTCTGAAAATCAGTGTGGAACATTAAGAATTGTCACTACTGAAACACAGATTTTCTGTAATTAAGTTAAATTGAAGTTTAATTAAACTTTTTTTGTGTGTTTAATGAAAATATTATGATTTTATGTGTGTACAGCTGTTCAAAACTGTGACTGCTAGTCAAGTACTGGCTGGCGCCTTTGAGTTCTGCTCAAAATGAGCTAAAATTGTCACTTCTGAAACATTTCGTAAAGTTTCAGATCGTTTTAATAGTGATGAAATGGAATGTTCATTTGTTTTAATGAAATAAACGAAATTAAGGTTAAAGAGTCACTCGAAGAAAGCAGATTTTAGTTTAAAGTCCAAGTCAGTTAAAAGTCTGAAATGTGTTTTGAAATCCATGTAGGTTGAGAATTCCTTTAAGTTGTGGCTAACGCATTGTTTTCCCCTCTCTCTCTCTCTCTCTCTCTCTCTCTCTCTCTCTCTTTCATTCTGTCTCTCTCTCTCTGTCTCTGTAGGTGTTATAACTGTGGAGGCCTGGACCACCATGCTAAAGAGTGTGGCCTGCCACCTCAGCCAAAGAAATGCCACTACTGTCAGAGTGTAATGCACATGGTGGCCCAGTGTCCCCACAAGGGGGCGCTGTCACCCTCCACTTCTCAGGACCCCCACCTCTCCTCCGCGGCCTCCACGCAGTCGCAGGAGGAGAGCAGCCGCTCGGGCTCGTCCCCCCGCGAGGGCCCGTCGTCCTCTCCGGAGGAAGCGTATCAGCGTGGCGCTCACGGCCAGCGATGGAGGAAAACTCGAGATTGACTGCAAGCTCACCTCTGAACTTTCTGACCTTTCACCTCATTCTGAGTGAGCCTGGATCCAGCACCGTCTACCTCACGCGCTCGAGTAACAGGGGAGGTCCTCTCTTCCCGCGCAGCTACGGCAACGGTCCTCGCACCCGTGTGTGTGCGTGTGTGTGTGTGTCTGTGTGTTTGACACCTTGACTTGCCCTCTATGCAACTACGGCACAGGTTAACGGGGGGTAACTGAGGTGGGGTGCGTGTGTCCGTGAGTGTGTGGAATTTTTCTCAACTCGTCAAAAGAAGTTCGAACAGTCAAGACCGACGTCAGAGGAGCAAGTGAATGTGAATCTGAGTTATAGTCTTTATCTTTACTCAGCTAATTAATCAGCCCGTTCGTATCACAAAGCTTTACAAAGGTACACAAAATACTGTTTTTTTTTCTTTTTTTATGCGTCAACATTCCTTCACCTCGTAAAGCATTCCGTTTAGTTTCGACTTAAAAAGTTCAGCAAGCCAGTAAGCAGCCAGACGCTCAGGAGCTTTGACCAGTAGATGGCCAATGCTAATGTCTGTCACAGCAACCAATCAAAAAAACCCAAAAACCCTACACTGAAACATGCAGTACTGTTCAGAAGTCAGAGGCCACTCTTTGTTTATTTAATAAGGACAAGATATTCATATTTCAGCATCAGGAAAAAAATAAAATGCATATTTAACAGCAACTAAATATCATAGCAGTTTTTCTGAATTTAATGTGTCCACTTTTTACATTCCCACTTTCAGTTTTTCAAAGAAATCTGCAGGGAAATATTTCCACATGCCCAAAGATCAGTCTTAGAAGATGGTCGCATTTTCTGCTAATAATCCCAAATACAAATGTAGACTCATCAGCACAATAAAGCCTGTTTAGGGATTGTTGTGCTTTTATTTTTGTTTGACTTTCCCCTCCTTTCATTCAGGTGGATTATTTTATATGTAATCTCCTCACCTGAAAAATGAATATGTTGTGCTTCAGTGGCTCTTTTGACTGGAAGTTAAATAACTCGAGGGTGGTCTCTGACCGCACAGCACTGCAGGCCTGTAGTGCACAGTGAGACAAAAAACTGTTTACTCCTGGCATTTCCATGTGTCTCTCGTGGCCACTTAAGATCAGATTTTATGACTGGAGGAAGGGTACGGTGCACATTTACCACGTCTTTCTCTCAAAAGTGACCAGCAAAACTTTGTGTAAATGTACAAGCTGTCACAAACATTTCGATCACATGGGCTGCTAAATGAGAGAGAAGAGAGAAGCTACACAGCTGCGTTCATCTCTGTTATTATGATGGCGCAGTTAATTAGCGTATCGATCCTTAGCCTCTCGGGGCCAGAAGTCATCTCTTAACGAAAGTGCATGTCTGAGGACAACATGTTAAAGTTACGGTGCTGGATTGTGGAGAAATCCGTTGTTAACCTCTCTAAAACCCTCCCACAAATTCCTCTAGTTTGTAATTTAATGTCTGGAGGACAATTAATAACACAAGCAAAACAACCTAGTTAGCGAAGCGCTATCGTTAGCTAATAGAACTGTTTTAGTGTGTGTAGTTTGTGCTCTGAATGCGTGAGACACATCTACATGCTTAATTGGACTTTTTTTTGGGTGGGACTTTTTTCAGCCATGCTAACTTGTGTACATCTATGAGGTAACGATTGGCTTTTTGCAATGTTGACAACAACAATGGCGCACCATTAAAAGTGCACCACTTCTTTGAGCTCCATCGTTATGAGGCGTTGGATTGGTTTAGAAATTTCACACTGAGGCTGTTTCCACCATAAAAGCCCAGCCTGCAATTTTTACAGCGAATTTTTTACAAGTGAAATTATTTTCAATTTGCTGTGATAAATGACTGAAATTTCATTCTTCCAGAGCGAAGAAAATTTTCATGGAATTCAACTTTGGTGCGGATTCACGTCTTCAACCAGCAGTGCTACTGCTTTGGCTGTGAGAGGGCCCCCTCATATAAATAGCTCCCTAAATGGCGGAAATGCTAATTTTAGCAGTGTTTAGCCACAAAGCTTCAAATATTTTTTCCCCACTGACTGTAAATAAACAGATAGAGGAGAGACTAAACACAGCGCAATACACAGACAGTTCTACGGCTGTGTTATTGTCTTTACTTCTGTGGTTTTCTGTTTGTTTTAGATGGTTTTAGTTAGCCAGCTTGCTAACTGTGATGTTAGCTCAGTGGCTAACTGCAGCTGAACACTAAACAGGCTCTGTCTACACGTTTTTGCTACAGATCAGTGTGCAGCACTCAGCGCATGTGATTATCACATAGATATCTGATGTAATTATGTTGTTTTCACTGCCTCTGGCTGGCGAGTTAGCAAGCTTGCTAACTGCTGTGTTAGCTCTTTGGCTAACAGCAGCTGAATACAAGTCTCTCTACTGCCGCCAAACATTTTTGTGGTACAGTTCAGTAAGTAGGACTATACTCTGATGGGTATGTAATTGTTTGATATAATTATGCTCAATTTTTCATGTTCTGTTTATGCTTAGTGAGTTAGCTAGCTTGCTAACTGCACAAACCTGGGGGATTGTTTTTTATTGTTTGTTTCACAGTCCAACACATACTGCGAACGTCGAGTGTGACTGCAGCTCATTAAGTCTACGTTTTCCGCCCACGTTTAGCCCAAAATTTCTAATAGTTGTCCTCAGACATTCTTGTTATCTAGCCCCCTGAGGCTAGGTGGTCCTTCGCGTGCTGTAGCGCTCATGCTACAAATGTTACATGGTCATATACGTCCCTGACCTCCTCCTCCGAAGATGGTGTGAATGATTTTATCACAACGTGTCCTGGAGACACGGTACTTAGCGCTCGGACCACCCAAGACACATGTAAATGCCAAGTGTGAACGTGGCCATGGTGGGCAGTTGTGTGTGCGTGTATGTGTGTGTGTAGGTGGATGGTAATCTTGTGTGCAGAAGGTCAGGGAAGTGTCCTTGATATTGAAGACCGTTGGCTATCTGATCTTACTCTGAGCTCAATACTAGCCTTATGTTCAGAAGTAGACTAACATATGACGTCTACAGACGTTTCAAGACTAAAACATTTACTTATATTTAAAGGCATTATATCTATAGTATAGATTTCAGTTGTTTCTTACTTAGTAACTGACAATACCACAGTTAAAAATGATAATATAAGGCATTAATATATGTGTTTTTTTAAGATTTTATGGAAGTTTTAAGTATATGAAAACTGAATATGTAGGTAGTTGAAGGCATTGTACAGCGCTAAAAGTTCTTTTTTATTATCAAGTAGTCACACAAACCACATCATACCTCCCCATAACATCACACACTCTGCCTTTTCATCTCAGTCCACTCACTGACTCCTCTTTCACATCCTCTCATCCTAATCCTAATAAGCGACGGCTAATTGCTGCCTGTGAACAAACAGACCAAGCATGCTAATGTGGCTAACAAAGTAAGGAAGGTCGGCAGGCATCTGTTAGCATGATTTCGTTTGGATTCAGTTTTATTGGCATTAGCTTTTCTGACTGGGTTATTCTTTTACAAGTGACACAAATTTGCATTCTAATCACTAAACAGACTGTAAGATCGAGCCTTAAAGGGAAATTCTACACATTTCTCAAAAGTTCTGCATAATTCAGAGCTTGAGATTGAGTGGTGAGAACTGGTCCATTCTAGAGAAACATTCTATGTGTCTGCAAAATATAAATAATATAGACAAATATAGACATTTTATTTACTATCCAAAACCGCCAGTGAACCTACATGTCTTCTAAATTTACATACATAATGTTGATGATGGTGAATAGTCACAAATCTGAAATATAAGTTTTATTCAGGCACTATTTTGCCTCACAGTGCCCTGCAAGTACCTCTCCACCATGAATTGGTTAAAAAAAACATTATAGGCCAAAACCTTCTCAAGTGTTTCATAAAACAGTGTATCACGCATCACGCCACGACTTCATAACCATTTTGTGGAATAACTTTCTGTGAGGGAGCGTTTAACTTCAGACGTCTGGTTCCTATCACCCCCACTGTGAACAGTTCTAATTTAGTAAGTTTCTCTTGAACGGAGCATTTCACACCAAACCACTCTGAATGGCTTTGTTACAACTTTGTGGTTAAATCATACAGAAATTTTGAAAAATTGTTGGAATTCCCCTTTAATGTCATTAAAGTAGTAGTCCTTTTAGTTCTAATAGTTCTTTTTCCAGAATATTGGAACACATACGGTTGCTTTAATGTTTCTGAGGCTTTATTTAGCTTACATTGGAAGTTAACTGCCATAAATGAGGCCTCAAAAAATCCTTTCAAATATGCTGAGATCTGATAGCTCAATAAGAGCTCATCCAAAACATATTCAGTTATTTTATACCACTTTGATTGGGTTTAGCAGGACTCCAGCATACCTCCTTACGTCTGCCAATGCACTGTTCATGGATCTGTTCTTTTGCGGTAACCAAGAAAGCAACCATTCCCTGATTACAGATAAGCGGTGACCATTTCTGACCAGATTTTTTTCTGGATCAGTATCAATGCCGTAAATTGGCAATTTGGCAACAGATTTATTGGATGTTTTAAAGCTTAATGCTGTCAGGACAGTATCTCCAGAATTTAAGAAAAACATTCTTAAAATGTAACACAACTCGTAAAATTGTATTCATGCATTGTGAACAGCAGCTTGCAAGGTCGAAAAACAAGATCCCAACAGCAATGATATATACAAGTTTGGTCACCCCTGGTCAAATGATGTTTGTATTGATTTTCTAAGAGAAAATAATTGAACACATATTCTACAGAGAACACACTTCTGCACATTTTACTGCACAGTTTATTAGAAAACAACCTTTTTTTTGACTGTTTTTTTGCATACAACTGTAGCTTTCAGCTACCTGTTGAATGGTTGAACATTTCAGTTTGTGATCTGTTGTCATGACTGAAGTTTTTATTCTCTTTAAAGCCAACGTTTAATCTAGCAGTGTCAGGAAAACAGACTGGGA